TGTTACTGATTGTCAATGGCGCGTGTTTAAATGTCCACTTGGCGTCCTTGATTGTCGATAGATGCTCTTGTTTGTTCGTTGACACTATTGAACGTTTACAAACATGCAAATTGCGCTCTTCAATGTTCCGTGGCGTTAATGAAGTGCTTCTTGGTGTTATAGAATGTATATTCGCCTTATTGATTCTACACTTCGCGAAAATGAATATCGTTTTCGCCTAAATGATCAGCAAAAGGTGTATTTGTAATTTTTGTCCTAACTGTACACGTACACGAGGTTTTTCCCGCCATACTTTTCCTGCTCCTTTTGAAGGTTTTCTATTTTGGTATTTTTAACGCTTTCTATTATTTTCTCTACTCCTTCATGAAAATGAAGGCCTACACTGTTTGTGCTAGAGCTCAGGCATCTAATTTTATGGTCTTCTGGCCATTCAGTCCAAAAAATTTGCCAAATTGTTGAAGAAGTCTGAACGATGACCGAACAAGTGGTCAAAAGTAAAGACCTTAGAAGACAAACCAAGGAGGAGGGGGACATTGGGGGGTACCCAATACCGCAATACCGTAAGAAAAAATGGCAAATACCGAAATACCGCGTCGAAAATCGTCTAAATACCGATACCGTATATTTCAATCACATTTATAATCGGTTGCGCATACTTATGGTTGCTTCCATCTAGCGCGTTTAATTATCTCAGGCATTTATGCACCAGATGTCCATGTTTTTTTTAATATTTTGGTAGTTCGCAATTTTCCGCAAATTTTCACTGAAAAGTAAACTACATTCGTTCAGCCTTCTGGTATTTCCACCCAACAGCTAATTAACTCCAATAAAAATAACTCTTGAAAGCGCGAAAAACAAACCAACCAAAACCCTTTCCACGCACGTCTAGTGCGAGTTTTGATATAAAGTGAGTCTAGTCTAGCACGTCAGTCTCTCAGGGGTCAGATCACACGCCGCGCCATCCTCGGAGACCCAGGGGCAGATAGTGGGGACGAGGGAAAGTCTAAACGGGCGGAAAAATATATAATAAATAATAATAATGTTTATTTCTTATTTTGCGCAGTCTAGCATGCGATAAAGATATGATCGAATGCGCATTACAACACTAAAATCCTAAAGTAATAAATGGCTAATCCAAATAATGATAATAATAATAATAATTTACAATTTTCGGAAAACAATAAAAAGTAAAATATGAGTTAATAAAAGAACTAATAAAAAGCTAAATTAAAAAGATGTGTCTTTAGTAAAACTTTAAAAATGTTCAATGATTGACATTGTCTAATTTATATATGGAACGAAGAAAAGTAAAGAACGGCGAGAAGAGCCCCTGGGGACAATGTCTTACGAGACCAGTTCCAAACGGTCGCCGCCGTTTTGGCTTCTGATTGGTGCCAGAAAAACACAAGTTTTCTGGCACCAATCAGAAGCCAGAACGGCGGCGACCGTTTGGAACTGGTCTCGTAAGACATTGGGCGCGATCCATTCAACCAAAATTTCCGGAAATTTCGGTCCAAAACTCAATGGATCGGTTCGGTCCAACCGGAAAAGTTTCGAAAAAACGGGTCCACCTTTTGAGGTGGTCCACTTTTCCTGGTCGGACAGGTTGGAATTTTGGTTGAATGGATCGCGCCCATTGTCCCAGGGGCTCTTCTCTCGCCGTTCTTTACTTTTCTTCGTTCCATATATGTTTTTCCGCCCGTTTAGACTTTCCCTCGCCCCTTTATCTGCCCCTGGGTCTCCGAGGATGACGCCGCGCTGTTAAGAGGCAAACTTACCAAATTTTCGCTTTTAACTTTACAAGGCGTTTTTCAATTCTCGAAACCCAACATCTAAACTTATTCTTGTTGCAATAATGTTCGCCTCCTTCGCCCTCTTACAAAATTGCCACACAGTCAATGATGACCACGCCGTCTTCAACCTCAGCGACCTCAGACATTGTGAGAAAACGTTTAAGACCTCGAATTACCGGCACAGGTACACAGATCGACAAGCCTGGTAAGGTAACTTGAGACGACTCATTATCATTGGATGCAACAACAATCACATTGTATATTATCGACCATTAACTGTCACAAAATGACCCACAAATGGTGCAATCATTTACCGTTATGTCTCAAGACTTCTAAATATTAACTTTTATTGACCTTTATGTCTTACTGTGTTTTGTTTTGCGTATTGTATCGAAAGGAAAGCGCAAATAAACGGTACCGTAATACCGTGAACAATCTTTTTTCACCGAATACCGTCAGCCAAAATGATGAAAAACCGCATACCGCAGAGCTAGATGATACCGCAATACCGCACGTTAAAATTAAAATTACCGAAATACCGCATGAAAAAAAGCCCAATACCGCAATACCGTAAACCCCCATGTCCCCCTCAAGGAGTGGATGGCCGTTTTTTCACAAACTGTGTGAGAAATATTATCGAAAAAGCTGTTAATATATGCCAAATAATTCCACAAAACAGAAAAGTAAAAAAATTTCAACATTACATTATCGATCAAAGTTTCGAGCACAAAGGTATGGGGATAAGTTACCAAAAAAGGTTGGAAAGCCTTGAAGAGAAAAAGGCGGTGTGCACTTCATGCAGGCATGGTGTCAGAAGGATTTGCAAACCGTAGTTTATACCAAAGGAGGACCGGCCGGCAAACTCACTTGATGTGATCCCCCTAGAGACCATCTGGATTATCGTAGACGAGACAACATACAAAGCTCCTGGGGCCCGTTTCTCGAAAGTCCCGGTAAACTACTCCATTTAGTTTCATTAACTGACAGTTTGATCATGTTAGATGCAAAACTATTGAAACCTCGATCTTTACTGTAAACGGAGACAGCTTACCGGGCCCGTTAATTATCGGGACTTTCGAGAAACGGGCCCCTGCCCCCAAAACAATGGACGAGCTAAGACAGTGACTACGCTTCGCCTGGAAGAATGTGACTTTGGACACGCTTTGGGAGATCGTAGATTCTGTTCCTCACCGCTTAGAAAATGTCAGAAAACATACAAGAAGACATTCTGGTTACTAATATTTTAGTTATTCAATGTTGAATGAATAATGAATAACAAACTAAGTTTTACAAAAGGTTTTTTTTAATAATTAGCAAAATTTAAGCGAATAAAAAATCGGAACGAACTTTTGAAACACCCTGTAGTAGCCAACCAGAACCCAAAATGCAAGGATTTAAAGGTCGTTTAAGAGACTCGAACCACAGCTGTTCTCTTCCGAGAAGAGGCCCGGGCACAAGTCCTTTTTGATGCATGCAATTTCCATGTTACGATATGTGTAGTTCCATACTGTTACTAAACGTTCTCCATACACTTTGAGTTTGGCGAGACTAGGCGTAGTGGATACTAGATGCGATATTCATAGAGATCAGACTATATGTTAAGTGGTCGCTTATAGGAGGTTAAAAACAACGGAAATTATAAAAGCGTCACTCCAAGAAGTCGAGAAGAAGTGATTGCGGTCGCTTACGAGAGGTGGTCGTTTAATTACGCGAGTTTTCAGTCATGAAGCTAATTTGACCGGAAAAATCTTGGGATTGTTGGATTGGTGGTCGCTTATGGGAAGTGGTTGCAAATCAGGGGCACCCAACGACGGTTTCCTTCAAAATACGTTGAAAACACTTTTCAGGCTATCCAGAGTACTTTAAGATCTCTAGAAGTGCATTCTAAGCGGCGCTACAAAATGTTTATCTGTTCGGTCAAGGGCTTCAGTATTATTTTTCCGAAAATCTGAGGTGTAATTTAACGTTTTACGAAAGTGAGAATTTTTCTGATTCCTCTCTCCATCGCATTTTAAAATCCGAAAATTATAGGTTTCCTTTTTCTTAGAAAAATCTTGTAACCTCGGTTGTAAAGTATGAAAAGTTAAACTTCAGAAAATCGTAGGGAATTTTTTTTCGAAAATTGTACGTCAACGGAAAGTTCATCTAGAAATATTTATCTGTCCCTAAGCAAAAGAAAATTATACGCAATATTTCCTTCTCCGAACAGATATTTTACGGAAAACAGTCGTTGGGTGCCCCTGGCAAATAGAGGTTCGACTACGTAACAAGTACATCTACTATTCCCAAAAGCAGGAGCGAAAGGTTTCGCCTCTAACAGTGAACGGTAAGAAGAAACCGCAAAACATCTCGCCGACCAATTGCTGCTGGCGGTAAGGGGAATTTCTCGAAGAGCAAAGATGTTGATATTGAGGACACAGATGGAGGATTAATTAAATGGGACTGCTTTATGCAATGGCGCACGGGTTTTTAGTTCATTTCAGAGGAAAATTTCGCGGAGAAATAGAAGGTCTGAAAATAAAAGCAGTCCTGTTTTCCCGTTGGGAATGTTCGACCAAAGTACCGAACAATTTAGTTTCCATAATCATATTACATCTCATCTTAACTTTGATACCACCTTCAGGATTTCGAGGCCGTTTTCGGTAAACGGGCTAAATGTTAAACACCAGTTGAGTCCTGAACTAAACAAGAATTTTGCCATTTGTAACATTTACCCAAACCGTGAACCGAAAGACTTTTCCGAAAAAAAAAGGACCAATAGTGAACAATCTAGCTGCAATCAAGTGTTCTTCACCATTCAACTACAACGTTATAGACGAAGAAAACGACCAAAATCCCAAAGGCAGACAAAAGTTCCAGCCTTGCTTTCAAATCACAAAATGAACGAAACAAAGGTTAGTAAATAATTCTATATTTTAATGGTACGTAAAATGAGTTAAGGAATAAACATTAAAATACAACTTCTGTGGAGCAAAAAGAAATGAATGTTTCCAAAATCCAAAATGGCAGCCCCACAGCAACGCTCAAGTCGAGAGGTGGCGTGGTTCGCGATTTCTAGAAATTGAGATCTTAAAGTCTCCTTTTACAATCCAATTCTAACATCATTTCAGTCATCAGTTATAGAAGATAATAGATATCACAGTGATAAACTCTAAGACACTCTACGGAAGTTTATGAAGAAGTCTCATTCAGGGTGTATTTACATCCAGCAGACCGACAGCCATGGGAGTACACAAGAGCCCATAGCATCGACTAAGCGCGACAGACGAGTGCTGCTTTTTTGGTTTCTTTGTTTCTTTGAATATACTGCCAGAAGTGAATTCACACAAATGTGTGTTGGGAGGATGTATTACGAGAGCAAGCCCAAACTGAATATTCTTTAAATAAAGCGATTTCCGCAGAATAAAATGGACCAGAAAGCCCAGTTTCACAGATTAGTGTAAACATCATTATATAATAATATTATGTTTCTACTGTCCGAGCTCTATTGACTCTAAACAATATATTTCAATTGTAGTGTCGATGAGGTTTAGGAATAACAGGCCAGCGTCCCTTTTTTTTCGACCTTTTCATGGCTTCGACCTTTTTTGGTGGAGTTAAAATGACGTCACAGCCCTCTTTTCCGCTGTCCAGTTCGCAGGCCACATATCTCTTCACGTGATCGAAAAGGTACGCTATAGGAGACGAGCCTTGGGCGAGAACCTAAGGAAGGTGTTATGAAGAAGTTAGTGTTCGTTTTGTTTTTTACAAAGTTTCAACCCAGGAGTCATTTCATACGTAGGTGGTATTTGGGTGAGTGTGGTCCTGAATAGGACTGTTGTTGACAGTGACTGACGCTTTGACAACCTCGGAAAGACGAGAAGGTTGGACAGCAGCGCATCTGTTGTAGTCATCTTCAGTAAGATGTCCCACGTCAGTTGATGGTATTAAACTCCGGTTACTGACTTGATTGGTCAGTTAACCTGTGATGTTATTGGCTGTGAAGACTCTAAATGTCATTGGTTTGTTTCGATCCGTCACAATTTAATGGTATTTTAACGGTCTTTTTTTCTACTTAGTCAAACTGCCGGATGTCCAGTATAGAGGGAACAAGTGCAAGGTAAAACGGGCAATAAAAAAAGTGAGACTTTTTTTTTTTTGTAACATTGTTACATAACGATATGAAAAGTTACGTTGCGTATTTTACCACTCACATTCAAACCTGTCTCGCAACACATCAGGTTGTTGGAAGCTGCGTGAATACTGTCTTCTGATTAGATAGAATTACGGGGGAGTCATGCTATACACGGGATTTACGTCACGATAAAGCGCTCCATGTTTTGCTGCAAAAAGTAGAACTACTCCAGGGTTCGCAAAATTGTTCAGATGACTCCACTGAGGTTACGGAGGGAGTCACTTTGACTCCAAAAATTTTCGGTAACAAACAGGGAGCCACTTCGACTCCAGAAATTTTCGGTAACAAACACAGTTTTGTCCTTACCTTTTTGGCAACAAATACAATTTACGTTAATTGTTAACGTTCTAAACCTTAATTAAATCATCAAAATTAAAGAATTATACTGCACGACAAAACAGGAAGAGGGTAAATTACGATCAAAGTTAACTCGATGACCGCCACTAGTGGATTTGAGCTTTCCAGGTCGGCGGACCGCCACCGCTACTTCGTGTATCCCTCACGATAGTGTATACATGCCAGGACCATGTGCTGGAAAGTCTGATACTTGACTCCAAATATTCCAAAATGACTCCTAAATTTGTGAAGTAGGAGTCACACTGACTCCACTCATCAATAAAATTTGCAAATCCAGTACTCCCTACTCTGCAACAACTTTTCGTAACCTGCAACAACCTGAATTGTTGCAAGACAGGTTTGATCCGTGGGCGGTAAAACGCGCAACATCGCTTCTCATTTCGTTTTGCAGCATGAGTTATCGGTACATTTTGCTGCCCGTTTTACTATGCTTTTAAAATGAAATTGACAAACACCGCCATCACTATTATAAGGAATTCTCGTCCCTCGGGATCACAACAGCTTCTTGGGAATTACATTGTTGCGTCGCATTTGGAAAAGGAGATCTTTCAACAAAGCCGAGCGTATTACACTGTCCGGCTCCTGATAGGAGAGACTCGTCGTATTGCTACAGAGCCTTCGCTTGAAGTAAATGGAGTCTAATGATAAACGTCATAGTATTCGGTATTTTGGTAGATAAACGACGCCAACATTTCACTTACCTAATACTTGCAACTTGCGCCATTCATTAGTTATCTGCACCTCTCAGTAATTATATATCTGCACCACTCATTAGTTACCTGCACCACTCGTTAGTTATCTGCACCACTCGTTAGTTACCTGCACCACTCATTAGTTATCTGCGCCACTCATTAGTTATCTGCACCACTCATTAGTTACCTGCGTCACTCATTAGTTATCTGCGCTACTCATTAGTTTTCTGCACCACTCATTAGTTATCTGCGCCGCTCGTTAGTTATCTCCGCTACTCATTAGATATCTGGACCACTCATTAGTTAACTGCACCACTCATTAGTTATCTGCGCGTATCTACTGACCAGCTTGTAAACGGACTAAGGTTTATAACAAAGAAGTGTCAGAGGATAGTCCAATTAGGTCCCATTTATATGGGGAAAAGTTGTCCCGGTAAAAGTTCTCCCAGCAAAGGGAGTCAACTTGAGCGAACGTTTATGGACAAAAAAGGGATCATTTTACGTTTCTGGGAAACTGCCCTCCCACCCTCCCCTAAGCCACCATTTTGCCCTAAGCGAGAGGTACCGTATTTATTCGATTAACCGCCCTGGGCGCTTATTAAATTTTTGGACCTTGAGAGTGGGTGCTTATTGAAGGCTGAGCGCTTATTAAATTTTTCACCATTTTAAGCAAGTGTAGTATGTTTATTTTGCAACAAAATAATAAACGGTAATAACAAAACGCGAAGATAGAACAAAGCAAGGTTTCTGTAAAATACTCTGCGTAACGCAAAGTGCTCGATCTCGACGATCTTACGGAAAAATAGGGCACTGTGAACAGTCTATTCACCAAGTTTTGTAGGCAAAAGTAGAAAAGGTTGGCTCAGTCGCCCAGTGTTTCTCGGATAAGCGAGTGGCCCCTCCAACCAGAGGGGACAAGTTTTCCTCCACACAAACGAGGCCTTCTACTATTAAGGCGATGTTATACGACACGATTCGCGACGACAATTTTTAGCACAACATAGCGTTGAAACATTGTTGCAACATTGTTTCTAATAGTTACAACATTGTTCCAATATTGTAACGCTGTGTTGCGCTAAAAATCGTCGTTGCGAATCGTCCGGTGTAACATCACCTTTAGGCTATTCTGAATTGTCTCACGGGCAATAAAAAAGCTTTGATCAGTGATCAAATACCCATACCTGATAATGGAAATCACGTAGACTGAACTGGTCTTTTAAATTATCTTTTGCATACTTTCTGGCCTTTATTATGTCAATCTGGCCAATCATATAAGCTGTAGCCTGACCAGGGTCACTCTGATACCGTGTCACCTGTAAAAAAAAAAAGACAAAGCTTGCTGTAACCGCCGCTGGGTTAGGTCGGTTTGTTCACCGCAGGCTCGCAGTGTGGAATGCCCAGATGCATACTGATTAGGTCCCGGATGCCTAAAGCATTAAGATTAAAGGTGTTCTTCAAAGGTGGTCCCAAATATTCCGGTCGGACACAACCGAAATGGTCCGTTCCATTTGATTTAAACCGAACGGCCGGAATTTTGAGCTTGCAAGTCATCCCTGATATCACGTATGGTAAAGAAATATAATTACGCCGAGACAAATAGAATGGTCGTCAATAATTCTCACTTACTTAATCTTAAGTTTCTTTATGCAATTGGCCTGGTGTCTTTAGAAAACAAGTTAAACTATTCTGGCTGTTTACAAGCAAATGCCGGATCCCATCATTGGGTGGTAACGATAAACCGTTGACCTTTTCTCCTTCATCCTTGTTTTATTCGTTGATTTGAATGCGGCGGGAAAGGCCGGTAACTTTGCGGTAAGCATCCTTTCTAACTGTTTATCTTTTGCCATGGTTAACAATTCGCTAAAACTAAAGCAGTAGCTAATTAGATTCTCCACATCAGAATATATGTCTACGAATCTGTCAAGTCCGGTTAGAATTCTCACTACACATCAAATTTGCCAATTTTCAGCCTTTCTCATGAAATGACAGGTTCTAAGTTTACGCGTTTACTGTACCTCTTTTTGTGCCAGATCGGTATTGTCCCAGGCATACTTATCAAAATACCATAGAGCGGTATCCCTGGTGAAACTGCTATTGATATGAAGCCCAGTGTCCACGATTAGTCTTATGGCCCGCCAAATCTAAAAAAAAGATGACAAAATAATACATATCGCTATCGTATACGTATCCGTTTTGTTTGACAAGGGAGATTTCTTTCTCCGGCTTGCCTCACCTCACCGTTATGTATCCTGCAGTGGCGGATCCAGGGGAGGGGCCCAGGGGGGGCCGCCCCTCTCTTATTTTTAGACCAAACTGAGGCCCAAAGGGCCGGAAAAAATTTTTTTGGATACGAGCTTCCCCTTATCTCAGGGTCTAAATGACCAGCCCCCCCCCCTTATCTGAAGGTCTGGATCCGCCATTGTCCTGTGAAAGCGGTCGCCGAAAATGCATCTTTAAAAACACTCTCCAGACTGGAGATTTCCCATAATAAAGAAAACTTACATAAGTAACAACGCAGGCGACATAAACAAGTCATAAGGAGTCAAATTCAAGTTGTTTGGTTTTGAAAGCCCCGTTTGGCTTTACTTGAGTGGATAGATAAAAACGGAGCGATTACGTCGCGGTGTTGGATACCAGTAAATGCGTATGCTTCCATCAAAGATGGTACCGTTTTCAGTTACTATTGCGTTTTTGTGTGGACGGGCAAAAACGATTAAAAAACGCAAGGTGTGGACGCGAAAATGTTTGGAAAACGGGGCAAAAAATTCTCCCTTTTCAAACACGTGTGGACAGGGCTTAAGTTTCGGTCAACAACTCGGAAGGATAGTTTGATCACTTTGCACGTTCTAGTTTATTATCATTTGGTGCGGGGTTCATTTTTTTTTTGTTCATTGTAAAGCAAAAAATACAGTCCAACTCTCTGTAAGCCACTCCAAAAGCTTAAGTTTCCTGATCGGTCTCTTAGACCACAGGGGATCTCTGCCTAAAACAAGTCCGAAGGTATCCCCAATTACTATGTCTTTTGAATACAAGCTAGTATAACTCAGACACTCTAATAAAGCTATCATCAAAGTCATCACCAACAAGAGAAATAACAAATACCTCGGCGATGACTCGCCGTATCCGCTCTTGCGGATGCTCGTCTCTTGTACCATTTGTCACGTTATCGACGGTTATAGACAACCTTGATCGTTCGAAACATACCCGAATGCATGAATGTGAATGAGTGAGCATCATTTAAAAGGCACATGTCACATTGATCAGAAAATTACAATGAGAATCTTGTTACACTAACACCTCGCACTTCTTTTCAAATAATTCACGTAACTCGGGGCATTTGCAAAACCTTTTCCCACCGAACTGAAGCCTAGTAAATGCCGAGCAAAAGGGAAAAAAAGCGTATGTATTTTCCTTCGTTCTGTTAATCACGCTATACCTGCCATTTCAGCATTCCAAACTTCTGCATTGGTTCATTATTGTAAGCGTCAGTGTCATCTGCGATAAGGGGCTTCTCACTGTACAGGGCCCAGCCCTCAGTAAACGCTGTATAATAAGTCTCCATGTCCAGCCACGTAAGAGCATCCTCGCAGTCGTCACGGAAGTGCTCCGTGTTCCCTTGGACCTTTAAGATAGAAAAGAGAAGGATACTCGTTTAGACCGTCGCCCGGTTAGCTCCGTTGGATTAGCGCCGATCAGGTGAGAGGGAAACCCGCGTTCAAGCCCCAGCCGGACCACCAACCGAAGCCTTAAAAAATACTGGTAAGATCACTGACGCTGTCTTTTATTAAGGTCATCTCCTTAAACAATCTTTAATAGACTTTTTAGCTTGTATGTTTTGTTTTCCCATTTCAGGCCATGTGATGGTACCCCAGAAAACCGTTTTTTTTTTCAAATGACGTCATATGCACGTACTGTATACATAATTTATGATAGGACAAAAGGCAAATTCCCTGGTGAACATAACGTGGTCTGAATAGGCAAAAAAAACATACAAGCTAAAAAGGTCTATTTTAATCAGTGAACCCGACGAAGAATTAACAGAACCCACATTACTTGAAAAGAGTGGAAGTTTCGCCGGTGGTGTGGTTCATCTCTTCCTCTGTCATCACTTAACCCATCAAACATAATATAGTAAGCTCATACGGTAAATGGACCGATAACGGCAGCCAGTGGCGCCATTGTATGCTGAGCTTTTCATAATGTATAGAGGACGACTTGTTGTTCCTTGTCCGAGACATTATCATCACCATAACGATCATCAGACAGAGTACTTCGAACAAATATAAATTTGACGTTCTAGAGGCTCTGAAGTTCTGGCCATTCTGTCACAAGAATCTCTCTCAGTAATGCCAATATCAACTAAATTTGTATTGACCATTCTTTTAGCTCACTAGCGCAATCACCAATTAAATATGACAATTCTTTTATCGCAGTTCATAACCGATTACATCGCACCCTTACATCCAAAGGCCATCCAAAACTCAGTTCATCCTCACAGTGGCCGTTGTGTACAGGCTCGACTGTTAAGGCTGCCTTTAATAGCAGAGGAGTCGGAGTCAGGTTCTTATCAAGTAAAATAAGCTTTCCGATTCCGCTTACGAGGGACCCCGGCAGTTACGATTTAGAGAAAACAAGATTGAGGGGGTCATAATCAAAAGCGAAGAAACTAGCCTAAGAAAACAGCCGACATTTAGCGTCGCCACCGCTGATTTCCCCTCGAAATGTCCTGTGAGGAACAATCGTAGAAATTCCATACTGACGACTTGTCACTACGCAGATCTGGGTATAGTGCTTCTGATTGGCCGAGCCGCGGGGGAAATTTGCTTCATCCAATCAGAAGCACTACCCAGTTCTGGGTAGTGACACGTCATCAGTATGGCATTTCAGCGCTCGTTTTTCCGACGTCATTTCGGAACGGAACCAGTGATGGCGTCGCGAAATGTCGGCCGTTTCGTCAGGCTACGAAGGAGCTAGTCCCATTATAAAGCGTGGGGACAAGCATACATTGTGATTGGTTTATCTTTCTCCTTCTGCTTCCGACTCGGACAATCTGGTTTTCACGAGACCGTAGGCGACTGAATCACAAGAACATCGGAAGAAAATGGAAACGTTCTGATTCTTTCGAATCAGATTCCGTCGAGCTAACGACTCTGCTTCCGACTCAGGCGACAATCTGTTTTTCACTACATCGTAAGTGACGGAGTTATCAGCGGAGTCGGAAGAAAATGGAAACGTTCTGATTCTTCCGACACAGATCCCTTCGGGGTTAAGCCTTCGCTTAAGACTCTGCTTAGGACTCGGATTTTTGATTTTGGCTTGGTCATAAGCGCTCTTACGACCCGATTACGACTCCCACTCAAACAACGTCACGACTAAAAACAAAGCTGCGCATAAGTATTTTACAGACCTGAGTGTGATGTCCTGGCCTTGCCTCATGTGCATTTACACTCCATTCAGAGAACCTAGGGCCTAGGTTTTCCAAGAAAAATGGTATATTGTACAAAGCATTTCTTGAGCAAATGGGATCACTACCCTCATAACTCTGGGCACCACTTGACGGGTTGAGATCAGGGACCAGGTCTATGGGGCAGTTTGGTGTGGTGTGTTTAGGACCAGTAAAGTAAAACATGTCCACTGTTTTGGGGTCCAGCATACTCATCACCTGAGAATGTAAATAGGGAGCTTAAGCAACAGCGTTTTTGAGCGACGGACCTCAACCGGAAGTGGACTTTTTGCATCATTGGGCAGTGGTTCTGTTGAAACTCTTTGGTAAATCGTCTTTATAAGAGAAAAGAAGCTTAGCAATACAAATTTGTTAGCGTCAAGACATATGAGAAGGGAGAAGGCCTCACTTCCGGTCGACGTGCGTCGCTCAAAAACGGCTTTGCTTAAGTTCCCTAATGTTAAAACAATTCAGATTTTCCAACGAAACGTTAAAGAGCTCCTAACCAGTAGTTTAAGCGCATTCGTACCATGCACACTTAAGTGTTATTGGAAATCCAGAGTATCTAGAGAAAAAACGTATAAAGGGGGTTAGCTCCCAAAGAAATTGTGGTATTGCATCAGTGGCGGAATGATTTGATCTGTACTTAAAACAACAGTATCCGCTCCTGCGGATCTACGTCCTGGAGCAGGCTATTTGTCATCTATCGCGTGCAGAGGTACCCTGGGCACCAGAGGTTTTTTCTCGCGTGCAACGGGGAGCTTTGTTTCGTCGGCCACAAGCCGACACGTGTTCGACCGAAGGCGCGGGTCACTTTTTAAGACTTGACCAAACCCGGAAAGCGCGCATGAAAAGCCTCTGGCACCAAGGGTAGTGCAGAGGGGAAAGATCTGTCAAACCGTACCAGAATGAGCATGGTTCAGTCAAGGAAGCCACAGAAAAGGGCCAAAAACCATGTAAAATTGACCCGAAAATTCCCATAAAATTTTTTCCCACTACCCGCCTGCACTTCCTTCCATCTAACCCTACGATCCTAAACGCCTTGCGAAAAACTTTTGCCATCGAAATGAAGCTTAGTAAATACCCAGCAAAAGGAAAAAAAAGGGCCAAGAAAAGCGAGAAAGAGGAGCTGGTAGAGGAGCAAGCAAAGTGGTTCCGTTGTTATAGAACTGTAACAAAAAGCTTACCCTTCTTGCCTCTTTGAACCATAACTGCATTGCAGCCCACCTTGTGGGACAATGTTTTTCTGCACCTTGAAGACTACTGCATTTTTTATGAGCTTCTTTGTTCGACTCATTCTTTGGAATAGAAGCGTCATTGAAAAAGCTTTCTGTGGAATTTAATTTTTGCCTGAAGAATCTGACAGCTTCATCACTGTCATTTAGGCCAGTTACCTCTTTTGCGATTTCTACCACCTAGAAATTAAGGACGGTAAAAAAATGGATGAACACAACTAATATACAACCCTATTAACTCCCAGATTATATTCTTTGAAAGGTACCAAATTGCCTTGAGGCAACAGAGAAAAGTAACGGTGGGTGGGTGGGGGGAGTTTTGACGAGCCTCAGGCCTACTCGCCATACGACCCATACAAGCAGTGTAGTCTGGGTTCTCACGTAAGGTCGTTAGAAAAAAAATATCACAATAAAATTAAAAGGTTCCATTCCACCGGGCAAATGACCTCTTAAAACCAACCATTTTGCAAGTTTTCAAAAAAGAACTCTTCATCATTTCCTACATTTTTGACTCACAACGTTAAAATGACGACCATGGAACTGATGGAAGCTGCCGTGTGGATAGACCTGCCTAGAAGTCGAGCTCAAATTCTTTCACGAGCGCGGAGCGCTGGCGGTAGAATTTTCTATGTTTTCAGAGGCGAAGGACTTTGAGAAAGTCTACCCTGTGGACAGTGGAAGATTTAGAATATTAAGGTAAATACAAACTCGTTATCAGTGGATTCAGGAAACGATCATATTGGTAGAAAAGCTAGACACAAAATCAAAGTGCATACGTTTATGCGGCAGCCAAATTTGTCTCCTTCGCATTAGGGCCCCATATACTGGGTCTAAAACTTTCTGAGCCACATATTTTGGAGAATGACTCAGCAGAGGAAAGCTGCACTGCTACAGAATTGAGACTTGGGTAGGTTGTCTATTCTTAGACATTCGTCTATATTATCTGCAATGTTTCGGTTTAGGCATTAAATGGTTTTGATTTTAGTTTTCTGATGACCTGAAAGTGAAAGCCACCAATATTATTGACCAAGCAAGAGTTCAAGATAGCTGAATATTTGCCCATTTCAAACCTTTTTTTTTTGCATTTTCTTGGACCTCAACGTTGTCTAAGTACATAAAAACGCAAAAAGTCTATAAACTCTACCCTGCAAGCAAAGTCTATCTAATTCCTAGATAAGCTAGGAAGGTGAAAGATCTAGGAAAGATCAAAGGGACTCTGCCAGCAGGCTATTTTTACTAAGATTTGCTGCAATAATTGGCCTCGACTGCTGTTGCAATGTCCCTGTCAACTCCCTTCTTCCTTTTTCCTTCAAACAATTACTCAAGTACCTTTTTAAAACTTTGTTTGTTAAACTTGTAAATAAAAGTTAAATATAGATACATGGTTAACACTATCCACTGCATTTCAATCACCACGCAAATTCAAGATTGTAAGCATAACATCACTGCACTAGCTACAGACAAGTGTTTAGACAATATTATAGAATGTAAATGCACATAAGCAAATAAATAATTAAGCTATTAGAAAAAGTTCTTACCATGGGATACAATTTGTCCAGCTGCTTCTTGCCAAGATTATGGACATCAATTGGCGTCATGTCATTTGTGGTAAAATATGGCATGATAAGAGAATATGAATACGGTCCATCCAGTTTGTCACCATTTGGCAAAGTTGGGTCTGTAGGCCAAGACTTGTTCTCTTTACCTTTGTACCACACAGAACTGAGTGGTAAACCTCCGAGTCCACTAGATACATTACTTGGCACACAATAATCAATGTATTCTTCTTCTAAAAATCTACACAACAAAGAGAGCAATAGGGAGGGATTAAACATGATACCATCCAGGCAAACCTTGGAAATGAACAGTGAAAGAGTGGCATTATGGCCTAATAATAAAAATAACAAGTAATGAACTTTATTAAAGTCTCACGTCTTATAACTCAGGCACAGTGCCTATAATAAGTGTTGAGTTTATTAAGAGTAGATACAGGATAAGCGCATTTTATTTGTACACCCAATAGCCTGTGTTAGGCAGGCCCATCCTGCCCATTCAAGCTGCCAATCAGCTAACACACTAGGATTTGATTCATCTAATCATCTTGCCTACTCACGAAACCTGATCCATGGTTATTATCAAATTTTTGCAGTTGACAAGAACAGTTAAATACAATCATTATCATGTAATTTGGGATGGTAAATGTATACAATAGCTGTGGTCACACTACAGACTTTTTACCTAGGTAAATTCGACTTGTTGACAGTTTACCTAGGGAAACTTGATTTTTAAAGTGTGACCGATTTTTCCCTAGGTAACTTACCTCGGGGAAATTTTATCTTCTGGGTCTTGGATATGTCTCGAGAACAAAAGAGTTTCCCTTGACTGCTACCCCAAAGCGATAGCTAGGGAAAAATAAAATACCGAGGTTGCTAGCCAATCGACGCTCATCGGCGAAGGTCTTGATGACAGAACCGGACATAGCTCACGCTGTGAAAGAAATTTTGGGGGCACGAGTCGTCTACGTCTTCGGCTTTCTTCACCTTGCAAGTTGAATTAGCGTAAGAAATAACAGCGAGATAAAAGAAAAAAAATGTCTCTTTGATCAGCCAGATCCCTGCGCATCTTGCCTTCTTAAATTTACGCTCCAAAAAGTCAACTGGCGTGAAACCTTGGGAGCCGATATCAGTAGTGTGACCTTCCCAGAATTTTTCACCTACGTAAAACAAAACCCGAGATGAATTTACCTCGGGAAATTTTTGATGAATTTACCTAGGTAAATTGCTTTTACCTAGGTAAAAGTCTGTAGTGTTACCACAGCTAATGATTACAATGAAAAAGGATGTGGTTGCACAGTTTACATTCTTAACCCTTGACTAGAAGTAATGTGTTACTGACAGTCTCATACTAGCAGTAATTCTACCGATCAGTATATTGGGCCAGGCCATTTAAAAGGCATTATTTTATTTGTACTAATTAATTGCAACAAGAAATTTTTTGCTGCTGCTAATACAGTAATTAACAATATCATGGCTGGTCAATATCAGCTTATTTACAAATATTGAGGAGATTCATTCATACCATGTCTCACATATTTAGAAAACAAAATCCCAGTCTTAACTTCACATGTTATATGCATGATCACAGGTTTCAACAGAAATTATACACTGTAGCAAATACAGAATTGTATGGCCTGTACATGCATTTTAGCTAATTATCAAGAAGCAGAGCAAAAAATTGTCTTAAAAAGGCTCGGAAAAACAGAATGAGCCAGGTCCCATCATTTAGCTCTTAATGTAGTATATTGTGTAATAGGGTTACGAAGAAAATTCTAGAAAACTTCTACCTTATAAGTTGGTGGAGTGGTTTTCCCACATAAGTTAGCAAGTACTCCTTGACAGAATCACTAACATTCATCCCATGTTCTTTTTCCCAATCACTGTCCACTTCTTTTGTTATATTACTATAAAATCCAGAGTCCATAAGTGGTTCCACAAACCACTCCTTCCAAATCCCTACAGGTGAAAAAAAGTAAGAGATAAAGAAAAATATTTTAAAAAATAATAATATAAAGAGGAGATCATATTGAAAGTAGAAGGTTTTTAGGCCTCTCTACAATGTTCTACTTTGTACTGAGAAAAAACCTATAAGGGTAGAATGCAAATCCTGCAGTCACTAGAAGGAAAGGGTGAGTATACTTGCAAAATATAGCAAGGGAGGGAGCTTAAGTAACCACAACAGCAATGGCAGCAATAACATAACTTAAAAACAGAAGTCGTACTTTCTTGGTCTTCATCACTATTATATTTCCACTTGAATTCTCAAGGACGTCATGTAGCGTCAGGAAAAGAAAAATCACTGTCTTGTAATTACACCCACTATACAAACATGGAATTAGGATGTTTCATGCTGCATTCATGGAGTTACAGCAAAGCAATATACCAATTAAGCATGATGCTTGTGCAGAGTTGTTGTCTTGCTTAATTACATGTATTTAAAACCTATTGCTTTTTTGACTTTTCCACCACCATTGCCACTGCTGTTGCATTTTTAAAAGCTCCCTGAGATCTACATAACTATGGGGCTGTGCTCTTGCAGTGGCTAGTGGCCCATGCTGACTAACATTAAATTTTATTTTTTAACCTTGAGTCACTAAAACTCATTGATCACCCACTGATTACTCATTGCCTTCATTGATCAGCATTTATCTCTGGATAAGAGAATGAAAATACTTGCTTTGGCCCTTTAGCCAAGGAGTAATAACAATAACAACTCCTTTATTTACCCTTGGTAGTGTTAACAGCAGAGAGGCTAGAGAGACCAAGCAAAAACAGTGACTGAAATGAAATATTAAAATAACAATCTTAATCCAGTATAACAGGGTTAAAAATCCCAACCAACTGGAGGTGGGCCCGATGGCTAGGTACAAGGATTTGAACTTGCTACCTCCTTGCAGCCAGGGCATGGCTTGAATTCGGGACCTCCTGCTTGCAAGTCCCGAGCTTTCCCCCCTCGGCCATCGGTCAGGATGCCCTAAGCCCAGAGGAGGAAAATCTCCAGCACCCCAGTTGTTATCATGCTGCAACTGGAGTGTTCTGCTCCTATTTTTCAGTAAGAAGATATTGCCGTGACAATTTGTCTGCAGAGCAACCTGACCTGCAGTGATTTGATCAATCAATTTGAAATTCAACAATGGCCAAATTCATAAAAAGGTCAGGTAGATTATGTGAGGTCAAATTGATATATCATCTTAATAAGCTTATTTTATAAGCTTTAATACTTTCCGTCTGTAAACAGATGACATTTTGTTTGATCACACACCTTACCTGTTTCGTTGTAGAGTGATACATTCAAATACTTCCTTTTAATTGAATCCGTGCCTGCGACACATTCTTCAACGCTTCGCACCATCCCCTTACGAATTCCCATCTTCATATTTTCGATGTACTGCAAAATTGAAACCTTGTGGGTCTCTAGTTTGGATTTAATGGCTTTCACGTCGGAAGCATTGAAAGGCTTGTGATAAAGTCCAATACCATTGTAAATATCGTATCCATGATAACAAACTGGCTGCCAACAGAATAAATTCGGTCCCATCATCCAATCACCCGCATAATAATTCACATCGTAAGGCTGTCCGAACACATGTTGGAGATAATGCTTAATCTGAGCAACAGATTTTCTTTCCCTGGGGCTCAAAGCGTTGAGATTGATATCTTTATCCTTGATTTCTTGAAGCAGACGTTCAGAGAGGTCTGTTCGTTCCTTGATCACCGCAGGAGTAGGGTCATACGCTACATACTCTCTCTTCACTCGTTCGAAGCTTTCCAAACTGAAGTGATCGACATCTGGATGGTACGGAATGTTGTACGGGTGAAGTATATAGTACGTTTCTTTCACCCGGTCAATAAATTCAGCAAGACCAACTCTTTTACCTTCTTCTGAGGGCTGGCATCGTTTGGCCACCTGAAAAGAAGCACCGCTAGAAGTTCTAGCAGTGTTATTATTTACAATTCTACCTCCACATTTTGTTTCTCTCGAATTCGCAAGAACGAGCAAGACAATTCCGATTGTGATGAGGACAATCCCTAAAACAATTAGGCCAAGCACTGCAAGTCTTTCTCTGGAGATAATTTTAGCGCCCCCATACTTGTATTTCACTTTCCCGTTGGGTTCTTCCATAAGCATCCCACTGTACTCTGCTTTTTCACCGACGGCCATGATGCTTTCCTAACGCATTTGTGGCGCTCTATGAGGAGCGCCTCTGTTATTGTTCGCTAATAACATCTTAATTGACATATGTCATGTCGGTTTCACGTGTCAAGTTGTAATCGGAGGTCTCAGTGGGGCAGTGGCAAATATATTAGCTACGGGTCCGCTAACGGTTAATTGCTTTGCGAATGGAAAATTAAAACAATAAAGACAATTAAAATTTTAATTGTTATAAAAGGTATAACTTTTGTCCATTGTTGTTTAAAACAAATTAGGCTCCTAAAGATGACAAAAAGGTAGATTGCTTACGATTACCCCAGCCCTCTCAGACTCGATTGGGTTGCAAATTCCAACGAAGCTGAAAAAATATGATCATGAAATGATCTGAACTGAAAGCTATTGTCAATATAGGGCGGCATTTGCTTAAAAGGAAAAAAAATTGCGATCCAAAACAGCTGCGCACGTTTTCATGCCACAAAGGCTGCCCCAGACGTTTGAGTTGAATGTACGCGCGCTGTGGCGGGAAAAACTCGGAGCGTGGCAGGTTAAAGGACTCTGAGAAAGTCTAAAGAAATTAAGTATTCTTTGGCAATATTTTTGGATGTGTGTATAGAGTAACATTCTTGCACCCGGTTCCACGTCGATTTGTTCGGTTTTAGGGAAAGAGGAAAAAAATCTATTTAGCTGACAAGCTTTAGAGATCCAACAGAGTTAACGGATGTCTCTCTGCAGGTGAAAATGAAAGGGTTTTTTTCTAACGCATTGATCGTAAGACTACAAAACTTTGTTTTTCATCCTTATCAAGCTCTCATATCTCGACTTTCAAACTCCAAAGAACGAAACTTTTCACATAAATTCTGTGATTGATACTCTCGATGATGAATAAATGTAGATGGCTTTTAGATTGAGACATCTTGTCTCCAAAAGTTGACGAAATTAATGAATAATACTTCTGTTTGATTGATTAAGAGAAAGCCGAAAAAGTTACCAGTTTAGCTGAAGAGCTTTATAGACGAGTAACGGAGTTCACGGATGTCGCTCTGCAGGTAAAAATTGACAAGGTTTTCCTTTATCACGCATTGATCGTAAAACTACAAACTTTGTATTTGTCTCTTATCAAGCACACCGATCTCTACTTCCAATCTCCGAAACACCTTCAAGGCACGCTTTTTACAGAATTTATTAAATGAAGCGCCTGCGATATTGATACTCTCGATCATTAAGGGCTTTTCAGGTTGAGACATACCGTCTCCAAAGTTGACAATTGTTTTCCTTTCTTTTAAAAACAGTTTAATTGCTAATCCTATCAAGCTTCACGCTGAGGCTTTTACAATATTAACACACCATCTTTTTAATTTATGAACAAAATATTAATGATCGGAGACAAACATGACACAAAGCTTTAATGGTGGACATTTGATAATAGTCGCCTTTATTTCAGTGAGGCTCTCAAAAAGCATGAATCGATGGACATAGGCATTATTTTTTTAACCAGAAGGTAGGCCCTAATTAAAGCTCCCAGCTATGTTTAGTAGCCCGTTAGGTATAGGACGTAATTAGATGTTTCAAAAACCAGACAGCATGGAAACTGACAACACCTTTTTGAGTCAAATCCCTTTTAATAGCCGCTGACCGATGCGCTCTTGAAAATATAAAAAGAAAAGGAAAAGAAACGTTGCAATGAGTGAGGCAGCTAAATGGCCGGGTCGTGATTTAGAGTCATGGCCGCTCGCCCGCTACCTCTGTCCCCACTTACTTGGCTCTAAGGCATCTGTTTGACAACCTGAATACGCAAATTGGTAATTGATTGCCTATTTTAATCCCCTACAGACTGCCATAGTACACTCTGTTTTCCCCTGCCACCACCCCTGCCCCCTCGAAATTCTGTCTAAGTAATTGTTTTCAAATGATTTTGACAACACTCATTTCTTCCAGGAAAATTTGACAGCAGCGACCATTTATGCACAAATTGGGGGCAAACTAATTATATTTTAGGGGGATGGAAAATAGAGAATTGTAATATAATCACGTTATTTGAAAACCTCCCCTTCTGAAACTGGGTCGATTTTGTTCCCTTCAAGCATGCCCACATTCACTACATTCCATTCCCACTCCCCTTATAAGGTAACTGATCAGTCGTTTTCATCGCAAAGTTCGTAATCATCTTTTACTTCGAGCCGCTTTTAATTAGTCGTTTTCAGGTGCAGTTTCGTAATTAAGACAAATGCTTTCGTGTTGCTGCCTTTCAATTCGCGATCGTGACTGAAGAAAAAAGACATCTCGCAAAATCTTTTGATAGTTTTGATAGCTCACGTTTATCCGTTTCTAATGACAGTGGAGTTCACATTACATTGGATTAGTCGAATTATCTGCAGAATCTGTTTTTACTCAGGACAACCAGCATGATCAACTTTTTATATTTCTATGACAGTCACATACAAACAACTCCATCATGGTCCTGCTATGACCATAAAGCTATTTACATGTAATCGTCAAGAGGGGGCCTTTCTGGCTTTTCGAAGCTCTTCTCGCCGATCACTCCCACAAAATCGGTGACTTGATCGTCCTCTGGGGCAACTGGGTTAAGCACATCATCACATCCCTCTTGTTTCTGGTCTTTAGCGCATCGAACGTATTCATGAATACTCTCCTCTAGGTAGCTTAGCGGAGCAGACCCTTGTGCCAAGAGGTAGAAATGAAAATCCTTTAGGTTGAAGTTGGTGCCAAGCTCTCTAGTTGCGAATTCTCGTAGTTCAATGATTTTCAGTTGGCCGATCATGTATGCTGTGGCTTGTCCAGGGACACTCTGATATCTTGTGACTTCTTTTTCTGCGGAATCGCTCGTATCCCACGCATAATCAGCAAAATATTTCAAGGCGACGGCACGAGAAAAATTCTTGTAGTGCAGACCTGTGTCTACAATAAGGCGAAGAGCGCGCCAAACCTAACGTGATCAATGGAGATGTAGTTAGAAGTAAGTACTATTCCCTGTTTTAAATATCAGTTTATCAAACTTGCACATGCACTAAATGAATTTTTATTTTTACGCGCCAAATAACATTCTTTCCTGTCTATCAAAGGTTAAAAGAGTCCTTATTTCACGTTGGTAGCTGACTGAGGAAACCTGAGACCGAAGCTGCGCTCATTTTACCCCTGGCCTCTTCTCTCCATCAGTGATCCGTTTTACGGGTATTTAAAGGAGTCGAAAGAAGGATTTGAGGCCACACCTGGCGGGAATCTAACTCAGGACCTCCCGGACAGTCAGATTGTGCTAATCCTACCTTCCTAATCCTGATATTACATCCATCGATACAATAGATCGTTTTCACTGTCACGCAACAAAAAAATAAATTGGAAACCGTCCAGTAGAAGAAGCCAAGAAAATGAAATGTTATAAAAGACTAATATATAAACAATTTGTCCACGACTCAGGTCTTTGTGGCCTGCACTTTCTGAGTTATATGCCGAAACGTTTCACGCACCTTTGTAGAGGTTTGTATGGAGAGGGGGGGGTACTCGCAGAAAAATTGGGTAGGGGTGTGCGGCCCGCTTCCCAAAACCCTTACCCTATTTATGACCAAAATCTGCGATTTTCCCTACCCTATTTATGACCTAACCAAAAATTTGATACCCTATTTATGACCTGACCCTTAAATCAATACCCTGTTTCAGACCTGCCTTATAATTATTTCCCTAGTTCAGACCAATGTTAAAGGCAATGTTTATCTGCTTTTATTAGGTTAGGGGGACATGATAAGGAAGTAGCTTCTTCTAAAAAAGTGCATTCAAGACTACAGTGCAAAAATCGTTACCCTATTTATGACCAAAATGGCGGCAAAATAGCCAAAATCGGTACCCAATTTATGACCAAAACGGCTGAAAAACCCTACCCTTTGGGGCCGCACATACCTATATAGCCCATATTAGGGAGTACCCCCGGGGTATGGAGACGCCATATTGGTGCACCGTTTTGCTGCACCAATATGGCCGCCGGAAATCAACAAAAACATCTGGAATTCAATATTTCTATAAAAGCTCTTTCTTTTCACTCGAGAACTAGCATACGTACGCATAAACATATCTTCTAATACTTGAAATAGTTATACTGTTGAAAATCAAGAGGAGAGACTTTTGTTCAACGAAACAGCATTTCTATTTTGGTGTCACGCACTGTAAAAACTCGGAAGTTCAAATTGCTGTATTTTCGAAATGAAACATGCTACGGGAATGGAAACTTGTACAAAGATTTACTTTTTGTTTAAATTCAACCTAGTGTAAATGAGAATTCGTACAACTTCGCGATTTTGACTTTACAATTTGATGACGTCACTGTGAAAACCATCTATATACAAAAGTTAACCCTGTATCAGAGTCCTAAGAGTATATACTACGAAAAGTCATGACTGAGAGAAATTTAAAATGTTTATAAATTTTAAAAATCAAATAGCACCATGTGAATGTGCGCCTGAATGGGTTCTATTTAACCCTTTTAACCCTAAGATCAAAATTTGAATTCTCATTTGTTGCCCCTATTCATTTCCTACAGAAGTAGTGGGGAGAAGTTGATAAAATATCAAGCAAATTCGTCTTGTGTGATCATGTCTGTAATTATCATGACCACTCTGTTTTACAAAGCATCGATATTTCAAGGAGAAATTTGATGCTGATCACTCTTAGGGCTTAATGGGTTAAATTTCAACACCAAACGATTTTGTCTTAGAACCTCATGCATTTCATTGTTTAGTCTCCTGACTGACTCTGGAACCGGGAAAAGAGGTAAACGAAAAAAGTGAAATAAAGAGGAAAGCTTTCACACTTCAAGCTAAACGAGCGCAGGGGCGTAACCAAAAATTTTGCAAAGGTATATAGGTAAAGTTATCTAAACAAATCCCAGCCCGTCCCTCTAATCGTTTTCACGACTTCGTTAAAAGTTTCTTTTGTATCATATGGTATGGTAATTGCCTAGTTCCTGTACGGGGTCTTACCAGGTCTTCGCGGTCAATAGGGAACTTAAGCAACGACGACGGCGAAGACAATGAGAACGGGAAAAAAAGCAATAGGCTAAGAGCCTGTTTACATGGAGTGGGGGACCCCGGTCTAGTGGGGTTGGTTTCTTTTGTTTTCACGCAATGGGGGACACAAAACAAAAGAAACCTACCCCACTAGACCGGGGTCCCCCACTCCATGTAAACAGGGTCTTAGATAAGCGAAACAACAACTTTCTCCGTGCATCACGCTTTTTTTGTACATTGCTTTGCCGTCGTTGCACTACTACGACGTAAAATTTCCTCATTTCACGTTCTATGGAGGATGGGAACACAGGACCAAGATGTTCTTTTTCTTTTTGTGAACTTAAATACAGTAATTTAGAATTCAACTCCCGAAAAAATCGCCAACTTTCGACAAATTAATAAGAGCGATGAAGTTTCAAACAGCCCGATTTCTCTTTTAGGGAGACGTTTTTGCTGCCGTTGCCGTCGCACGTCAGCCGGAAGTGAGCCTTTTTCTCTTTTAATCTGCCCTGACTATACTAACTTTGTAGTGAGAACTGTCTTTACTCTTATAGAGCCGATATGCCCAACCATTTGTTCAAAATCACGGCCCAAGATTTTAGGGAGACGTTTTTGTTGCCGTTGCCGTCGCACGTCAGCCGGAAGTGAGCCTTTTTCTCTTTTAATCTGCCCTGACTATACTAACTTTGTAGTGAGAACTGTCTTTACTCTTATAGAGCCGATATGCCCAACCATTTATTCAAAATCACGGCCCAAGATTGCAAAAAGTCCACTTCCGGTTGACGTCCGTCGCTAAAAAACGTCGCTCCTTAAACTCATTATTAGGCTGATTTAGCAACAGAACGGAAACGTCAGTTGACGACGGCGCGTGCAAATTAAAAAACTGGCTTGACCAATGGCAGAGCGGCAAATTGGGCACCGGAAGTCGTGTTCAGTCCTTTCCGCGCGCTTTCCCGTCGTCAACTGACGTTCCCGTCCTGTTGCTAAATCAGCCTATTAGGGAGTTTAGAAACGACGCCGGCGACGTCAAAGAGAATGTCGAAAGAGCATAAAGTTTAGATAAGCAAAACAAAAACTTTGCACGTGCGTCACACCTTTTTGTACATTTCTTTACCGTCACTGCACGACTACGACGTGAAAATACCTAATTTCACGTTTAATGGAGGACGTAACCAAGCGACGACGAATTTTTCTTTCTCTCAGTTAATTTCTAAATTTGAGTGCAGTCCCCAAGAAATCAACTCCAAGGAAATTCGCCGTCTGCATTTGACATTTCCAGCAAATTGGAATATAGGCGATGAAGTGTGAAAAAAAGGCGAATTTATTTTACAAATGACGTTTTGGTTGCCGTCGCCGTCTTCGATGCTAAAGCTTCCTAATAGGCTGATTTAGCAACAGAACGGGAACGTCAGTTGACGACGGCGCGCGCAAATCAAACAACTGGCTTGACCATCTTGACCAATGGCTTTTCCTTTTTTAAAAAAGGAAAAGCGGAGTAACATAGCCATCTACTCTTTTTCCAGCTATAGCTTATTTCCCTTCCGTTTATTTTGCTTTTTTCGTTTTCTTATCTTCAACAGGTTTTCAGGTAGGTGCGTACGTTCTGGCGCACAGGTGTAAGGATTTGTAACCTACAATGTATTATATTAATTGTAATGCACTTTAATCATTTTCATTATCATTGTCAGTTTCATCATCTTTATTATTACTATTATTATCATTATCATTATCTTAGCAACCTCCTGAAGCACAATAACTGAGGGAAAAAAAATTAAAAACGGAAAACTAAAAAGAAATTAAAAGGGTTAATCTGGAATTTTCCTGAGCCCCCAAAACAAAACTTTTGTCTGATCCATACCTGCCATTTTAGCATCCCATACTTCTGAAAAGGCGCTTTGTCGTAGACATTTGTTTCCCGGGCGATCAGTGGGTTCTCTGCATAGAGCGCCCAGCCTTCCGTAAAGGCGGTATAATAGGTAGAACTATCCAACCAGCTAATTACACCACCACAGCTGTCTCGAAAATGCTCAACCAAACCTTGGACCTGGGGTTACACGAAAGGAAAAATATTCAATTACGCGGCAGAATGGGAGAAATTGTTGAGTTTGCGTAGATGGACTTGTCTCTCAGTTTCGCAACTGGGAGAAACTTAGTTTGGTGGATAACAAAATGTGTACGCCAAGTGCTGTAAGATCTGCGGTTTGATAAGAATTTTCTTTTCCGATTGGTAGTCGATAACGAAACTAGCTGCTTCCAACCGAATCCGTTTTTATTTAGTCACTTTTTCGACATGCTTCCTCACGTGAATGGATTTTGTAGGCTCCCTCCATTCAGAGTAGTCTGCTACACAGCCGTTTTTAGTGTCGTCACGCAACGCTCCTCCTCACAGTACAAACGGCTGGGGAGGAGCGTTGCGTGACGACACTAAAAACGGCTGTTTAGAAAACTACATTCAGAGTGGATAGGACAGCTCATTATTATGCACAAAATCAGTGGAAAGCAATTTTCGCGTTAGCCTGCGAATACATCCGTCTCTCCTCGCTCCTCGCCGCTTGGGACGTTTCGCAGAAAACACGTCTGCGGAAATTCATTAGCGACGAGGAGCTGAAGAGACGGCTGTATTCGCAGGCCATTTTCGCGCGTTTTGATTGGCTTACCTTACTCGGATAGTTGCCACGGAAGACAAAATTTTAGCGATAAATGAACCATATATGCCCCCGTTTAGGGCTGGTTCATAGTGCTAGCTGAGATATATACGGTTGGAGTCCCGGTATGTATCCACCACTATTTAATCCCCTTAGGGGATATATAGTTGACTTGTACAATGTACATCGGTTTGCTGTAATATGGCTGTAAAAGGCATGGGTTTCCTTATAGACTATAGATCATAGATGTAGAGAATTTACGTCACCTGAGTGTGATGGCCAGGCCTAGCTTCGTGTGCATTTACACTCCATTCCTCGTATTTTTTAGGTCTGTCCAGGAAGAATGGGATGTTGTAATACGCATTTCTAGTACATTCTTTGTTGCTCCTTCGGTAGCTCTGCGCACCGCTTGAGGGGTTAAAGTTTGGAGCTAGGTCCACAGGGCAGTTGGGCGTAGTGTGTTTAGGGCCAGAGAAATAAAACATGTCTGTGGTTTGAGGATCCAGCATGCTCATCACCTGTCAGTAAAATGAAAATTTACTAAAGTGAAGCATTTATAAGGCCCAAAATTTTAAAACGAAGAAAAAAAACCCGAACGTTCTCGACACTGGGTCATCATCATTAGTTCTCATTAGTCAGCATGTAGTGTAACGCAAGTGGTTTCTCTCAAATGCTCATGCGCTCGTGTATAATCTGGTTAGTCGCAATCATGCAGTCAAATCAAGAGAAAAATAGAGAGTGAGAAGGTTGAATGTTTGTGTTCGATTGAGTGTATTCCTGAGAGGACTGGTTTTACGTTAATATCAGGAATACGCTTTTCATAATGTGTGTGCAATATTGCTAATATACTGGCGCGCAAGTACACTCTTACCCGCCGAGCTTCTGCGAACCATTTCTCCATCGTTTCCCATCGTTTTGGGCAATATTTCTTCGCTTCTTTGACAGATGTGCAGAGATTGTGAGCATTTTCGTTGGATTCGTTTGCAGGAAATGGTTCCTTATTGAAGAACATATCTGACTCGTTCAGTCGTTGGATGAATTCCTGCTTTGCAGTATCATTGTCGTTCTCGCCTGTGACTTGGCGGGCGATTTCCAGAACCTGAAAATGTATAAAATTAATTAAACTGCTGGGTCAAAAAGAACCATTTTAGTTACAGGAAATGATAATATCACTTGGAATCATCATATTTACTATCGGAACAGTAAATCAGTTTTTGTGTAATCGACATTGTTATGCAGCTTTAACACCCCATTCATCGGATGTGTTTCGTCCGTGAACAAGCAGTGTTCATAACATTAGTGCTGATCTCTTTTCAGTTCATGTCAGTGCTACCTATAATTTGTGTGTAATGTTGATGCAGTTTCACCATGGCACGCACAGAATGTGGTTCGAGTACCGGTAAGTTGAATATAGAACTAGAAATTGTCATGCCAGATCGATGTTTCCCTTTTTCACTTGAAAATAGGTCCCCTCTCTACACCAATGCGATGCAGCCAAGTACTGTAACTCATTTTACTTCACTCAAACGCATCAATTACACACACCACTTGACCCAATCGCGTAAAAAATAGTAAAAATATAATAGGCACCAGTTTTTTTTTAGGGCGAAAGGAAAAAAAAGGGACGCGAGCGCGCAAGGGAAGAAAAGGAGAGAGACGGCCCATCTCCTCTTCGCTTGTTCCCTTCGAGCGCTCTATTTAAAAAAAAACAACAACAACAACAACAGAAAACTAACCAGCGCCTGCCGCGCTGGCTAGGTAAACATTGATTTAAAACTCTTACCAATTGTTTGACTTTTACTAGTTTACAACTTGAACAAGTGTCGACTATTGGACAGTAGACATACAAATAGACCTACCTCTGGGTAAAGTTTATTCAACATGTCTTTGCCCAGCTGGTGTACTTGATCTGGCGTTTTAGTTATTGTCGTGAAATAAGGCATGATTGATTCGTACGCCCGCGTTCCGTTCAACGGTTCACCGGTAGGTAGTTTCTTGGTGGTTTTGTTTGCAGTTTTGGTTCCGTTGATGTAAACGTGAGAGAGCGGCAGGGTTGCTAGACCGCTGGAAACATCACTTGGAACGCAGTGCTGAAGATGCTCCGTTTCTAAGAATCTGCAATGGGAAAAATAAATATTTAGCTTTAGCAACGACTACGGCGAAGGCAACGAGAACGGCAAAAAAAAGCCGCAATAAGTCTTAGTTACACTGTAATTTTCAGGGAGTTATAATAACTCCTCTAGTGGGGCTAATTTAACTCCTTACAGTGGAGTTATTTTTCGTGGAGTTATTTTAACTCCAAAAAGGAGTTTAAAGAACTCTTTTTCAGGAGTAAAAGTGACCACAGATTTTGAGGAGTTAAAATAACCCCAAAAAAGGAGTTATCCTGTACCTAAAATTTTTACTCCACTTTCAGAGTTAAATTAACTCCAAAAAGGGTGAAAACAACCCCTGTAAGGAGTACAAGTAACCCCATTTCGGAGTAATTTTAACTCCAAGACTGGGAGTAAAAAGAACTCTTTTTCAGGAGTAAAAATGACCCCAAATTCGGAGTTAAATTAGGAGTTAAAATAACCCCAAAAAAGGGGTTATCCTGTACCTAAAATTTTTACTCCATTTTTGGAGTTATAATAACTCCCTAAAAATTACGGTGTAAGGTTAATAACTCTGTATGGCCGGCTGGCATCACGCTTGAATGAACAACCTAAGCGGTTGAAAAGCCAACACTAACAAGAGACAGTGCGGGCATAAATCGTAACGTCGTGCAAGAAAACCAACGTACGTCTCACGCGCAGCCCAGACAAGTTTTTATTCAAGGCTGGACTTCAGCAGATATGGGGGGTGGGCGAGGGGGGGAGGTTACACTCCTGTTTAAACTCGCGGAAAAGCCGGGGCGAGACGCAGGCGCACAGCCTGGAGACTTGCCTTATCACTTTTTGGATGGGTTTGCCAATGTATTCCAACGCGTGCTCTCGAATAGATTCGTTCACAGTCTTTCCTTTGTCGTCTTTCCATTTTGTCAAGTCGTCGGGCTGCAACAAGGCCAGAAACTTTTCATCTAATATAGGCCTCATATAATCTTCATCAAAAATACCTGAAAACAAAAATGAAGGACGGGCACTGAAAACTCAGATCACAACAAAACATGCAGCCTTGCAAATAAGAGAAATCGATCACATCACATGGAAATGTCATATACCTATATCTCCTACTATTAAAAACTGAATCATTGGATAATGCAATTCAAGATCAGAGCTTATGAGCTGATGATTGGCGTAGCCATCATGGTATATGTGCCATTATGCCATGCTCTCCAAATATGGTAACTGTACGCGTCTGCTCAAAATTAAAAACAAGCTGAAAATCGGTTGTTTTTACAAATAAACAGAATAAAGTCAAGAAGAATTTTCGATATTTTGTGGGCGTTTTTAATAAAACAATTATTGCACTCGCGCTTGTTGGATACATGCTCCTCGTTGGCTATCTACCATCTCATATCCAAGGCGCATTCGTGGAATAATAGTTAATTACAGGAGCCCATAACCCGGAGCGTCTAACCTCCATACTGCGCCTATGCAACGGCGTTTTCACAAGTAGGTCTATTTTTAGATAAGCCTTTCCCGCGAATTGCTTTCGAAAAGCCAATCACTAGCAATTGCGTCATCAATGATAAACTTTTAATACGTAATTAGGACAACTCCTTCAAATTGAAAAAAACATGGCGGAAACACGTGAGGAATCTTCAGAGGAGTCTTCTGACAGTTCTTCAAGCGACAATTTCAGTATTTACACGGAAACTAGCAGTTCAGAGCAAGATTTGCAAAACCTAGCCAGGACGTCTACTTCATCGGCGACAACGGATAATTCACGCAAAGGGAATTAAATCGAAATCATCTTCGAAATAGCCGACTGTGAAAAGGTCCAAGCAAGCTACTAACAGTCTAAACGACGATCAAATGGGGGAATTGACCTCGTGGAACAGTTATTTTTCGCGGGAAAAGCTTAACTAAAAATAAACTCACTTGTAAAAACGCCGTTGCACGAATTTATGGCAGTTGAACGCTCCGGATTATGGGCTTCTGTTAATTACCATAGAATCTGTCAGATCATTATCAAGTAGTAGAAAAGTCTCTATCTCGGAAGCATAAGTACGTGATACGAGGTATTGATCTACTTAAACCTTTTTTTGGCAGATGCACTGTAACTGATTATGGTACGTTGTTAGTGATAATGAATTGAAATTGTTAACTTAGATAAACGCGCCTGATTGCTACTTATTTTTGCCGACAACAGGAAGTTCAATTGAATATACCAGGTTGTTTCTAATAAAATATATGTTAGGTTTCCAAGGGGACAAAACCCTTTTTCCATAGTGGAAAAGGTTAGGACCAGTGCTTCAGTATCAATTCCTCTCCCTTAGCCTGAGATTATGCCCTCTCCCTCTTATCCCTCTAAAAAAAAGCGTGATCGCAGGTTACCTCTCCCTTGATCCTAATAAGTAAGTAAGTAAGTAGTTTATTTATACACGTAACACCTTAGCCTCCCACGCAAACGTTCTTAGGGGTTCGTCACGCGTTCCTACCCCACGAGAGGAATGATTGCGTGACGAACCCGTAACAACGTCTGCGTGGGAGGCTAGTAACACCTAGGAGTTAACAATAGAAAATCATCCGAAGGTGCACGTGATACACTAGTAAAAAGTAAAAACCTAAGTAAAAATTTTAACTACATAAGTTTTTATATCTATTACATAAAAAATATCATCATATAAAAAACTATTAAAAGAGAGCTAAAATTTAACATGAACATTCAGAAAAAGGTCACAAACTATGATAGCAAAGAATTAAATAGATTAAAAAATAGTAATAATGATAAAATAACCTAAGTACTGGCAAGACAAAAACTAATATAAAGATTCTAAACTGAGCTTTTGAAGAGCCTTTTTAAAAACACTTTAAGATTATCAGAGTTCTAATATATGACACTAGCTTATTCCACGGTTTACTAGCTATAAATGAAAAGGATTTATACATCCACTGAGCTTTTAAAATGAGGCTGTACCAAGTTACTTCCTTTACCCCTTAGGTTATAACATACGTCCCTTTAATTCTGAAAATCGGCAATGTACTTTGGATCTATTTTCTTACCGCATTTACTTACAGATCAGGTAGGAAGAATTCGAAGTTGTGAAAAGAAAGAAGCCTTCATTCTGGTTGTTCTTAGCCTGCCTAGATGGCTAGATTGTTTGGTACAGGGTACATTCTTGGATGGACTTTAGCCAAAAAGGCAACAGTATGCAATCGCTCGCTAATACCGCCATTTACGCATGCATGCTATTTTTTCTGTTACCATGTGCAGACTCTCATGGTCTCCTCATTTGATTCAGCATTGAAAAAAAGGGGAAAATACGATACATTGCCGCCGAGCCCATTACAAAGTAGCCTGCAGTGCAGGCGTATTTTGGATGCGCGAAACCTTGTTCGTGTTCGTAATATTGTTGTAGCGGCCATCTTTGATTTTATGACAGTGGAAGATTGGGGAGAGTAGAAATAGTAACCCTTACAGTAGGCGCGAGGGCGGAAGAAGGAAAGGGGGGAGGGGGAGGGGAGAAAAAAACGGTAATGATCTACTATCACCGTTATTACGTCAGTATTTGATGAATGCTGTCAACGAAGGAATGCAACATTGTGTAAACTGTTTGATGAGAACGCTCATGTCACAAACATTCGTCATGCCAATATAGCTGTGCTAAGTTTGAAATAAACCTTCAGTTCTCAAAACCAATCTAAAATAAGTTTTTCGTGTTTCCGCATACCACATTTTCGGTTCACCTTTAAAGTGCTAAAATCCCCCGAAGAAGGGTTAGGTAAGAGCCCAGAAAACTTTGTTTCAGCAAAGATATTTCACAAAAATATCAAAAATATATTTCTACACATTTCTTTAGTCAACCAGATTTTACAGCTTATTTTCGGCGGAATGCTTCGCTTCTTAAATCCTTGCCTCCTTCAGCTGTTCGATATGAAACTGTGAAAGGTAAGTTTGGTCTTGTAGATGCTTTGTCCTGCCCGGGTCCTGCCTTGCTTGCGTTCCATTCTATGTGGTTCTATAACAGGGGCACGCTGACGTCACCTACCGATATTTCAAAATGTGCCAACCAGAAGCGCATTGGTGCTTGTAACAAAAGATCCTTTTGTTTCGCTCGTGAAAAATTTGAATAACAAAACCAATGTTGGCAAACAGTGATGTCTCCTATATAGGTCACGGTCTGTCAGCCAGAAGGACCCAAGTAAAAAACAGTGTACCATCCACCCCCACCCCATCCCCCTCGAGCTCGATCCCACCCAAGGAACCTAATCGCCCATTACCAAGAGAAAACTGTACGCATGCAAGTTTATCTGGGTTGCGGATATGAAGTCGATTTGGAGTTATCACGGTGCCGGGATCACAAGTGGACCATGACGATATTATTGCCTTTGACATAGATGTTGACAGATGAATTTTATTGCCCTGATATTAATTTCTCCAGATTAACTAAAAATTTTATAATCCTGGGTTTAATACTATGTGACGGCCACAATGACAAGCCTGTTTCAAACCAGGTATTTAGTGCAAATGCCTCTGCAAAGAAGCAGGGTACTAAGAATGAATATTGCTAGCCTGCGTAGCAAGCGTTTCCTCGCGAGGTTCGTCTAGAAAGCTGGGACTAGAGCAAAAAAAAATGAATGACGGGGGAGGGGGAGAGGAAAGAAGTTTGTTTCCTTTCTAACTTTCGCGCAATAACTCGATTGGAAACGCTTGCCACGCAGGCTAGAATATTGCGCATTTACTTTTGTTTAAAAATCAGTCGGGCGACAAATATAAGGAGTTGCACACTACCAACTCACCCCCTCAAAAAATATATCCCAGGGGTGCTCCCAGCATGACATCTCTGATGTTTGATTTGTACTATACTCCCACATACCTATGTCTCCTTTCATGGAAACGTTGAAGTAATCTCTTTTAAACGAATTTATTCCAGCGATACATTCCTCTTTTGATCGCACCATGCCAGCTTTTATTCCGAACCTCAAGTTATCGATGTACCGTGTGAACGTTTTGGCTACTAGCTTCATTTTCCCTTGTACTAACTGGACATCACTCAAGCTCTTGGGGCGTAAGTTTCCCAGGCCATTCTTGATGTCGTTCGAACCAATATTGCAAATCGGCTGCCAGCAAAACAGATTTGGACCCATAAGAAAAACCCCAGCATAATAGTCTCCATCAAAAGGCATTCCAAAATTGTTTTCCAGAAAATGCTTTACTTGAGCTAGAGATTTCTTCTCGCGCGGCTTGAGTTGTCTAGCATTGATCGACATTTTCTTCAGTTCGAGCAGAAGAGCTCGCGCTGCATCAGTGATGTGCTTTAGGTTTTTCGGATCTGGGTTGTACGGTTGGAATTTTTCTTTCATTTCCTCTGGCTTCACCCCTCCAGGTTTAAAAATCAACTCTTGCGGGTGAAGTTCAAAGTATCTGTCTTGCACTTTCTGCAGAAAGTCACCTACGCCTGCTAGTTCAGCCGCCGCGGAATAACTGCATCGGTCCGTCTGCCGGTGTTTTTCTTTATCATTATCGGCTTCATCTAGGTCGCAATCTTTCGACTTAGATTTTGTCAAGAGAACTATCCCAATGATTAAGAGAATGAACCCGACAAGAGCAAAAATCCCAGCAATGATCACGAGTTTTCTTTGCTTCTTAATTTGAGACGCCATTTTATAGTACTCGAGCTTGAGTTGGAGATGATGCCGCACATTTATATGCGGTGTAGTTGGTAAGTTTGGCTTTGTTTACATAAGATTGACAGTTCATTTGTTCACAGGTGAGATCACACTGAGATCGTAATGGAGGTTTCTGTATCTTTTTAATATTGGAGGAAAACAGACTTTTTTTATTAATCATAAACT